TTACGTCTTTTAAATATACATAAAATATTTGCGATTTGAATACACATAATATATCACATAATATAGAAAATATGAAATTTATGCCATAGTTTTATATTTTTAAGTTTTTTTATATTAATATTTTTTTATTCAATTCATATTTTAGGATTTTTACTTGAACAAAATGTGCTGATGTGTCCAATAATTTTTAAATTATAATCTTGTGCGTAAATATGTGTGTTTTACGTAACAGAACTTACGGAAATCACAATTAAATGATAAAATACTTAAGTATAAAATTACGTTTGACGCAATTAATAATCAAAAGTATTAAATCCAATTGTCATAATTCGTACAAACAGCAGTGGAAATTTAGCAATAAAATCTGATGTATTGGAAATTTCACTGTAGAATAAGAAAATCACGATCTTTCCTTCCGCGTTTTCGCGGAGTGCCTATGTTTTGAAACAAAAAATTGCGACGAACGACGTATAAATTGATCTATTACGATGTCAAATAAAATACGTTCTTATATTGAAGAAGAGAGAAAGAGTTTATGACCCGACAGCTTATATTTCAGCATAAACTTTATGTTTTATTCTTAACATGATGTACTTCACAGTGTGATCACCTCACATTGCGAATCTATTAGAACATCATGTATTATTAACTCTATAAAGCGAAATTGCACATGCGTAGAAAGTAAAGAGAATTATCCAATATTTTTGCAATATGTTATAATAATAAGTAAAGAATTCAGAATTGATATAAGGTAGTAAAAGCAAGTTTTTAAATTAAATATAATAATTGTTTTATATAGTAATAGATGTAAATAGTAACAAATCAACAACATTAATATTTTATAATATTGTATTTTCAAATTAAAAGCAGCATTTCCAAGTAGAAAAAAATCATGATGGCCTCCAGAATAATTATTAAATGTTACTTTTTAATCAATCATGATTTAATTTAACGTCATTGCGACGTTATCGAAACCTGTTGTTCTGCTTGGATATCACGCTTTTTTTATTCTGACATATACAAATGTTTTTGTAAAGTTTTACCATAAATTTTACTTAACAGTACAATAAAACATACTGAGGATTTCGTGGTTTAATTTTATATTTATATTAAACACACATTTTTTGTTACTTTGTGTACGACGCCTTTAATGAGCATCTACAATGCGTACTGAGTGCATCCAATCGAATTCGCTATTAGCGCCATATTTACGCAGTAACATTTATGTTACACGACCGATGCGCAGTGCAGTTCATTTTTTTTATATCTTTTTGTATGTACTTGTTGCGCCGTTACTGCATCGCTTGACAATAATTACGATCTTATATAATAATAAATATAAAAATCATACAAACAAATTGCTATTAATTAAATAATATAACGAGAAAGGTTCAAAAATTTCAAAAAAAACAAAAGAGGCTAGCTACGAGCCAAGTTAAGCTCGATTTAGCTCCTCTTGTCTTTTTTGAAATGTTTTTATATACCTTTCCGTTTATTACTCTCGGTGATATACTTTTATTTTTCCGATTTCTAAAATATTCAGTACTAGTTTCACCGTTAATCATCTGTTATACTTTTTAATCGATACTTTGTTTCCTTGTATTCTTTTTTGATCTCAATTGTGATCAAAGTTAACTGATCATTGTCCAGTGCACACGATTGACGTGACTGTTATGAAACCAGTCTAGCTCCGAAACGTGCTACTTGATATTCGTCTGAACATCCGATTCGTGGCAATTTCCTAGGACGATACTGCAATGTCGACGTTCTGAAACGTAACACCCTGTACATTCACTCCGATCCCGGTCGGATTGGATTCCTCTAGTAGAGAGTTCACTGTCACGGTCTCGCGAGCTGTAAGGAAAAGGATAATCCGTATCGCGTTACTCGTTTTTGTTTTCTCGCTCGGGCACCGCGCGGTGCAACGCGGCGCAGCGCGACGTCTCCCGCGGCACGGCATACACGTATAATTTGCTCTTGCGCGTGTTTTACGCGAGATACACCGAGATCGGTTTCCCTTTCTCTTGTGAGCGCGTTTTGCGAAGGTGAACGCTCAGTGAGTGAACGGTCCCCGGTCATCGCCTCGTAGTTTATGTGCCTCCGCATTATCAGCTCCGCTCGGCGCGCTTCTTCAGGAAGGGGAAATGATTCCCTCTCGCTTCCGTAATTTACCGGCAGCAATCGACAGCGCACGTTTTCAATGCTGCTTCCAAACGTTGTATACCATATACAACGTTTATTTCGTCTAAACTGTTAAAATGTTTTTTTTTTAATTTGCATGAATTATATTTATATATTTATACTAGTTTATTAGAATAGAATGTTTAATTAACTGAATGCGTTCCGGAAAAACTATATATTTAAAAAGACAATGAAATTTTTTCAGAAATTCTTCTTAAAATTTTTTTTTTTTAATTCTTTCATAATTTATGTGAATTTTGAAAAAGTCCTATATTATTTTGTTTCTTTATATTTTAAAATTTATCTTCTTTGTTTTCCTAAAATACGTATGTATTATTATGAAACAGTGGTACACTTCTTGTAATATATTTCTGGATTATTATACGTTATAGTTTCTATTCATTATAGAAAGTCAGTGACATTTTTTAAGCAATTTAATGATAATAAGAACTAGTGAGAACAGTTACTATAAAAAAGTAAATTAAGAAGTCGCGCGCCAGAGAAAGTATGGGAGTGAACAAGTCGCTAGTAAATCATCTATAGAATTTAAAAGAGAAGTCAGTAAAAGTAACTCAGTGAGTTACTTTGTAATTTCAAATCCGATTTTATCCTTTATAATTAATTCATTTTGTAATTACCTCGTACTTTAATATAACACATAAATATCGTATTTGTAATTTCTAAATTCACACAATTATATAAATATTACTATAATCACAACCACGTTAATTATAAATCCTCCTTTCAATTATGAAAACCATTTGATTTTAAATGAAATAAAATTTTCTATTATTCATTTACTCACTATTGAAATTTAATTTAAGAATTCTACAATATAAAAAATAAGTAAAAAGTAAATATCAAATCGGAAAAAGATAAGAGTTTCTTTATCAAGCATATTTTGAAATAGCGCTACTATATAACTTTCATATATAAATTTATATTTAATAACAAATTTGCAATTCGTAAATTTAACATAGCGTTATTCCGTTAGTTAGTTTTCAATAAAAGTATACAAAGATACAAAAAACAATTATACAAAGATATTAATTTATATATACCTCCTCGTATTATGCAAATCTTGCAAAAGTACTCGTCTTTGCTTTAAAATTGCTTTAAATTATCTTTTGTAATATGCGTACATTGACTCTGATTGTCATTAAAATTTATAGATATAACATAATGAATTTATGATAATTATAACTGATCTGATTAATATTTATAATAGTTATAAATGCTCGGATAAATATTGACTAACAATTACAGATATTTAACAATTAGATATAAATATTTTAACAAAACAGTGTGTAGTTAAAAAATTCCACAGCGCAGTGTCAATAATATACAATAATACTACAAGATACTATAATTTTGACACATTATTATTAAAAATATACTATAATATCTAATAATTTTAACATGGAATTACAAATGTTTGTATCAGAGAGTGTTAGTAGTTTGCTGATAGATGGCAGCAATTACTGAACTTTCAAATAGAATGCGGCAGAAACATAGATAGAGTTACTATTTTATCCATCTACAGTCTACACGAAACTTTTCCATAAATGTTAATCACATTTAAATAAATAAATTTATTATCTTCGTTGTTTTTAAGAAATATAATTAGAAAAAAAAAATAGAAAGATGCTATTTATAAATTTGGATATAAAAGATTTTTTATAAGTATTTATAAAATATATATTGTAATATAATATATATATGTATTTTTTATAAATATTTGCGCGATAATAGTAATTTTATATCGTAAGAGAAAATTCTCATCTTATAATTTTGAATACGTTCAATAATCTGATTATTCAAATACTTCGAATAAGAAATATTGCACATTCGAATTGATAATTCATCGGTTCCTTACTTAAAAAAAAGACACAATTTAAAATATGATCTTTAAGTTATTGTCATGAATGAATAAAGTAAACATTACTTTAAAAAGGCTGTTTTTAAAAGTTATGAAACAAAAATGATAAAAATAACATTTGATTACCTTAAGAATATATTCATTTTTACCACGATACTATTTGATCAGTTAATAATTTTCTGTTGAAAAATACTTTTTCCTTTTTTCTAGAAAATTTAATCTATTTAGTTGTGTCACCTTTGAAGCAAGGTGACGTGTTAGACTTTAGAATACATAATAAAGAATATATATAATACGCAATTATATAAATAATTATATAATTAATATAACAAGTTCTTATGCTACAATTAAGATAACCTCAATACATTTGGACATTCTTCATGTATGGAATACAAATAATAGAATAAGTAATAACATAAGTAATAACATTGTTTGATTCAAAATAATACGAAAAGATAAAAAGAAAGAAATTTCTTCTAAATCAGGAAGAATACCTTCAAGTCAGGATGAAAGGATACACCGTACGATTACTTTTTCTCTCACGTGCAGAGGATGTGTAGATTAGTGAAACGAAAGAAGACGGTTCGTCCACCCGCGTGCCGCGAGGCACAATCGCGATCTTGATCTTGGACGTTCACTTAACGTCTGCCTTTCGTTAAGAGAAGGAACAGCCCACCGTTACAGATATCGGAAACGAGGAAACAGGAATATACAAAGGCAGTGAGCGTAGCGAGGGAGGAAGGCAAAGCCACCGGCGCTTGTCCCCCTCTGTTACACCGCGATCGGGTGACTTTTTTGCCATGAGAAGGCTATTAGGCGACTCCTTTCACGAGTGCGGCGCATACGGGTAGCAAAATACTCCCTTTCATTCTTATTCGACTTCTATCACGTGCGTATATATATAAGCGAAACGCGTATTCGCGATGGTTGTCTGATCGAGACCGGGCAGAGGAGTAACTCGCGTTGTTGTGTTTCCCCGTTAATTATTCATAACTTTTTCGTAGCTTTCTCTTCACTTTTGTCGCCCTATTGTGACGGAAGCGATATTTTTCTCAGTAATCCTATCCGAAAACGGAACGATGATAGGACAACGAGAAATAATACCAGGTTTCTTGGTAAGTTTCAAGACGAATTGCAACGCGTTTACCGCATTTTCGACCGCGACGAAAGTGAAACAGTCAGTGATAATTCAAATTTTTGGAGTTAATCGAAAGGATCATTGTTTCTACGTTTAATCAAGGAGAGTAATGTAAGAAGTATTAGCTTTGTGATTTGTGATTTGCAATTACAAAAATTATAAATGACATTTGGCTTTTAGATGTCTTTAATATCGGAAGGTAACATTTCCAGAAATATAATTTTTATACTTATTATTATATTTTTATACAATTTTGGCTCAATTGTGTGTGTGTGTTTCACATGTTTAAATATTCTAATTATTGTTCGATATATCTTCTATAGAAAGTTAATCGTTATTCGAAGTCGTTATATATATTGAAGTTGCAGAGTCAAATTATTATATTATATATAATATTACACATACAGAGGCATTTTTCTTACATCGTCTTCTTATTTCAAAAGTAACACGACTCAAAAAAATTAAGCTTCCTTTACTTAAAAAAGAAGAAAAACTATTTTGCAATTTGACAAATTAGGGATAATTTGAGAAAATTATATGAAAATAACTAATCAAACAATATCAGCAAAAAGAATATATTCTTAACTGATCAAATGTCATTTTTGTCATTTTCATTTTACAACACATAATTTTTTGAGGACAACAGCTTTCTAAGACTGAAACTTAAAGAAGATGTCATTTTTGCTTAATTTTATTCTGGCTCCAAAATTGTAAGTTCAAGTTTCAAAGAAATAATTTTATTATGTAACTCGGTTTTAGAAGCTTCTCAGTACCGTTGAATTTTATCGAATTTGAAAAGAATAGTTAGCATTCATGGTATTTGAAAAATTACTTATATTTTTAGTAGACACTTTTGAAATAAAAAAGCGATACTTACTGTTGCTAATTTTACAAACGGTCCAGTTTCTACTTTTTGATAATAATACAGCTAAAATGAGATAGAATTGATTCTGTATAGCTTTATTAACAATCATTGTTAAATGATATTATTTTCAGTTAACTCTTCTCTCAGTCGTCGCATTATTTAGCTTAGTCAACGCCGGAGGACACGGTGGAGGACAGTAAGTCAAGTTAAATCAAGCTCTCTATATCGAAGAAGCGTTAGAAAGTAGAACATATAAATATAATTTGATAAAACTAATCGCGCAGTTTCCATTTTTCAAAGCCAGCCATCAGAAGCTTTAATATTGCCCGCGTCCTTTTTATAGCAGTCATGTGGTAATCCACGTGCCGTACAAGATCAAGAAGATCCAGCACACGCACACGATCACGAAACACATACACCACGGCGGCGGCGGCGGCGGCGACAGTTATGAGGTACTCGGATACACCTATGGTCATCCTATTTCCCTTGGGGGTCACGACGGCGGCGGCGACGGTCATGATTTTGGAGGTGGTGGCGGTGGTCACGATTTCGGAGGTGGTGGCGGTGGAGGCCACCTAGAACTAAGCCATGACGGTGGTTTCGGAGGAGGCGGAGGTGGATTTGGCGGGGGCGGACTTGGCGGCGGGGACTGGGGAGGACATTAGAAATATCCTCGAGTGAATTATTGATAACTTTCGAGAAACGTTAAAATTAGTTTTAAAGTAGTCGACATGATAACCCTTTGAAACATATGGAATGTTTTTTTATCCCTGTTTTTCCGCTGATAACGCTAGTTTTTGTACATTATTTCTATTATAAGACAATGTCGTTCATTTGTTATAATAATGACATTATTAAAAAATTGTCATTTTTTTAATTGCTTACGAAAAAACGGGAATGTAAAGAAAGAGAAGAGATATTTTCATTTCTCTAGAATCGGTTATTACACCAAAATTATGTTTTAAAATTAATCTTACAGAATTTTAACGATTTAAAACATTCATCAAATTACTTTTCTAAAAACTGTTTTTTTAATTATATCATTGTTGCAGCAAATGAGTGATATAATGTTCGAAAACTAAAGTTGTTGCAATTGAATTGAAATTAACAAGCGGAAAAAATCTATAAAAAATTTATCGCGTGTTTAGTGATCTATAGAAGGTATATAAAGTAACATGCACAAAGACAATGCACTTTTATCTGAACTGTCATCAGACATAGATAACTAGCATTTGTGAAAGAATATATGTATATGCTTTAAACGGTTAAATGTTCGCACGCACGAGACTTCTGTGTGCATTAATACAATGAATGACTCGATTTCGCATTTTTTTAACAATGCAAGTGTTCTATAATAATGTGAAATCGAATGATCTATTGTTTTGATGCATTCAACAATAGTTTTATTTAGAACTGTTTTATTTTATAGAACACCGACTGATTTTTTTATCATTTCTTACTTTCGAAAAGCTACGGACATCTTTTTCTATCTCTAGTCTGAATTATTTTCATTAAATATATATATATATATAAAATAAATTTCGTTACTTGTTATCTTATTCTTATTATTTTTTATACATTTTTTTATGTTAATAAACATGTTGAATAAATGTTGTATGTTTTTACGGTACGTATTTCAAATACGATCGTATATATAATTTCCTGTATCCTTTATATTTTAAAAATATTATTAAAATAAATAGGGGAGACCGAGAATAGTTGATACAGTTTTTCTTAAGGAATTTTTTGCACGTAACTAATAAATAGAATCTAAACCGTAAGGCCATTTTGCAATAGCCACATGCTTATACTATACAAAAATTATTTTTATGATTTAATAATATGATTAACTTTCTAGTTAAATTACTTATATTATTAATAAAAAATATAAGATCATGCACCTTGTAACAACTGACCCCATATGCGGGGTCCAATGTTATAGTTATTGAGGTCACTTGTTACATATCCAGATTTCAAAATATGACACATTTAATTAAATGAAATAAAAAGAAATATATATATATATACTTCATAAATAATTTTAAAACGATATTTATATGTAGATATGTAACATTAATAATGTTTACGATATACCTAAACAGTTCTCTCTTTTTCTTACACTGAGAAAAATGTCCAATGCTTTTGATCGGAAATAACCGTTCTACTGCTTTTTCCGATCAGTTTCGATCGGATTCAGGGTTATCCGATGAGATGACGAACACCTTTATCCGATGAAATGTGATTTCCGTTTACATGTGAACGGAATATGAACCGCCATATGCCTATCCGTTAAAATTTCATCGGATAAACCTACAACTTGATCGGACATTAAACTTGAACGGATAAAAAAAGAGTATTTTATCCGATCAAGTTTGATATCCGATCAAATATGTTAAATCCGATGCGGTGAAATGGCGCTGGCCAATCACGGAATAGTTGGTCACGTGATCAGAGACTTTTTGTATAGGCTCTATAGGCTGATGTAATGATGTTATTTGTTATTACCATTAAAACCGTTGACATCAAGTGAGCACATGTTGTTCTGTGAGCGAGCATATAGTGTTTCTAGCGCGAATCAGTATTTGCTTTTTTTTTGCTGTACGTATCTCTTGCGTTTTTATTACGCACTCGTTCGTATTCGTATCTTGGTTGTGTAAACTGCACCTACGAAATGTGTGAAATTTCCCAGAATATAAAAACAGTGCTCGAAACTATGAAACTATAAATTGTTTTAATCAATGTGTGTTTTTCAGTGCGTGCGTGCGTGCGTGCGTGCGTGCGTGTGTATGTGTGTGTGTAATAAATCTGTGAAATCCGACAAAAATGATCGAAAAAATCCGATCTTTCGAATAATTTGATTGGCTAATGTTATCCGATCAAAAATATTTGATCGGACATAATGTGATCGGAAATAGTCCGTTCAAAAAATAACGAACGGATATTTCTCATCGGATATTCCGATGAATTTATTTCCGATTAAATATTTGATCGGATCTTTTGTCCGATCAAAATGATCGGAAATAACCGTTTGTTATTGTTTGAACGGACAATCCGATCATTAATGATCGGAAAAAGCCTGGATATTTTTCTCAGTGTACATACATCACAGAAATAAAAATATAAATTTATGTAACATTACTATTTGGTTGCCGCTATTACGCTTACAATAGGTTATGTTGAAGTTAGGTGTGACGACGGAGAAGCAAACACCTGTAACGACACACCCCGTCACAACTAGTCCCGGGGTGTCATATTTACGTATTTCAATTATTACTTAATAACTCAATTATTACTACAAAAAATATATGTTAAGACGTTAATATAACTGTAAAATGTTGTTTATAAAATAAGAATTCTATAGAAATAGTTTAAATTATGACATGAACAGATTGATAAAAATAACATTTTATATATCACTGATTTATTTTACTTTTGGTTATGAAAAACCGAAAATATTTTCTATTTCTGAAAATATGCTATTCAGTCTAAAATAATTTATTGCAGCATGACCGCAATGTTTTTACGGAAATACCATATTTTTATGGTAATATTATCGTTTATTATTTTGCAATAATTTTAAGTGTCCCATGTATCAACTATCCCTGGTCTCCCCTACTTATAATTTTTTTGGAATATGTTAATTTTTTCGGTGAAAACTAAAATAAGAGAAAATATTTACAAGTTTATTAAATTTAAAAAAGTAAAGAAGTATCAACTTCACGCGAAGAAACTATTATTTATGTAAAACAATATTTTTTCAATACACGAAAAAATTTAAAAATAGCACAGCTAAAAACATAAAAAGATAAAAAATATATTAAGTGAGAAATATGTTACGACCTTATTTTTTCTAAAAAAAAAATAATGATATCACAAAGTATCGTAAAGTTGCACTATAGATAAATAAAATTTTTGAAAAGTTTTAAAAAACGTGATAATACAAATTGTAATTTATATTATTATAAACTTTATTTATCATATCCTTATTTGTGCATTCAGCACTGTTCAGCACTAAATCTGCAGAGAGTACACATTCAAAAGGCTTCTCCCCACTAAAATCAATTGTGCCGATCGGCATATTAGCTTCTTCTTTTATAAAGAAAAAGAAGTCAGTATGCCATATATAACAAGAAAAAATTAAATGCTTGTATTTTGAACTCGAGTCTGTAAATTAAGAGGCTTTACCATATCCATTACGCTACAAATACTCGAGTATGAATGTTCTAATAAATGCAAGGAAACGGAAATAAACTTTAAAGAAATGGTATTATCAAATATTCAATATTGAAATATCTCGGAAACGGTAAATCGCGTCGGTAGAACTGTCTACGCCTAAATGAGAGGGGGAGGGGTGATTTAGGAGTTCAAGGAAACACACTCTATATAATGCTGCCAAGTTTCATTAAAATCGGTGGGGATCACTTCGAAGTCTCCCCTTGCTTATAATGTTAAAATAATTTTAATAATAGATTAATTTAAATATATTTTAAATCTATTAATTGTGAGCGCCAAATATATATATATATATGGAACGCATTCTATTTCTATTCGTTTTTTATTTGTTTTTTTTTACAGTCAATTATGGTTACGTCAAATTACGTTCCATTTGATGCTTGCAACGTTCTTGTAATCATTTCATCCTTGTTATTTATCAAATATTAAACAAAGACAAATAATGCTTGCGAGCGTTGTGAGCGTCAAATGAAACACACTCTATTTCTCTTCGGTATTTAAATGCTTCCAAGTACAACGGGTTGCATATTGCCAGGCATACTGGATTTAAATTTATTACGCAGTAAAAAATATTTTAAGTAGAAGTAGTTGTAGCTAAATAAAATTCTGCATCTAAAAAGGTACATATTTTTTTATTATATTTTAATTATTATAAAACTTTAAAGTCAAAATGTTACTTTTATTCCCGGTCTCTTATATTATCTATAATGTACAATTAGAAAATGTATATGATTCGAAAGTTAAAGTACTAAATCACAAACATTTGAAATTAATAAGTATGTTTAAAGGTGATAGGAAAGAAAAATTTCCACGATTTCCATCAAGCGTTCTTTAATCTCATCCACGATTACGATCCGGAAATTTTTCTTGCATGAAAAGCAAAAAGGCAGAACGCTGAAGGCGATAGCAAGACTGATCATTACTATAATATAATAGTACGCTATAAATTTAATATAAAGATGCTGCAAATGAATGATACTTTATTTTATTGCTGCATCAATCGCTATTATTAGTTTCTTATTGAGACGTTTCAGACAAAATGCGTGTTGCATATATCTTCACGATAATTATTCCATAATCGCATTAACGGTGTTGCAGTATTATTACCTTTATAATACAACATTATATATATAATATATATTATCTATTTATCTAGTAAACATCTCGTGAATATATAAATTATTAACATGTAATTTTTATTAAATATCTGATATATATACATATATATATATATATATATACAGGGTGACCCATTTTAATCTATCACCCAAAATATTTCCGTTCCCTTGCATTTTACAAGAAAATGTTTCAGACAAAAGTTGTATGGTTTCAAGGGGGCCATAAAATAGTACCATTGATTTGACTTTGGATAGTCGCTTAAAGATCACATGAAAAGGTCATCTTCAATTTCTTAAATTAAACCCACTATTTTTCATTACATATTCTTGTAGCTTATCTCGAGAGCTTTCCAAAACACTATAATAAAATGCTTTGGCATTCCAAGAATGGATTTGGACACGGAGAAAACCCGCGAAACGGATAACCTTCATACAGAAAGCACCCGTGAAAGCCTCAAGAAGACTATAATAAAATATTTTTTCATTAAGTATTTTTCGAGTTATAAGGCTCGAAAGTTACAGTACAGTCGTCATTAGCATTACGCAAGTTATCCGACCGACGGTTAAAACCTTTTGAACGTTGTTCAGGATCATGTCCTGGATAATATTTGTCAAGATCAAGGCCATTGGTGATTGTATCTCTTATTTTCATTTTTGTAAAAATGAATTTTTAGTGCAAAAATAAAAATAAGAGATACAGCCTGCAATGGTATTGATCTTGACAAATGTTATCCAGGACATGATCCTGAATCACACTCTCGAGGTAAGCTACAAGAATATATAATGAAAAATAGTGGGTTTAATTTAAGAAATTGAAGATGATCTTTTCATGTGACCTTTAAGCGATTATCCAAGGTCAAATCAATGGTATCATTTTATGGCCCCCTTGAAACCATACAACTTTTGTCTGAAACATTTTCTTGTAAAATGCAAGGACATGGAAATATTTGGGGTGATAGATTAAAATGGGTCACCCTGTATATATAACATGGTAGTTTAATTTTAATTTACTATAATTTACTTCATTATTATTATTTGATTTATACATATAATATATTTGTATACGGTTTTATGTATTATAATTTTAAGTTAATATGTATGTGATAATAATATTTATCTCATTAATATATATTCTTTTATTATTTGTTTTAATTTAACTTTCAAGTCTTTCCATTATTCTTACGCGATCGCGTAAAAATTCTAGGAGACACGCGCTTCTCCGCTTTGTTATTGTATTGGTATTCAGAATCATCGACGAAATAACGACCTGCATGAGTTTTCTTTTTTGATTCATTTTTATACTCATCAGCGGAGTGTTCACCCTCTTCCTGTTTGTCATCGTAGAATTTCGTGACATCGCCCGAATACGTGTGTCCGCTAGTGGACTCGCCCCCCTTATGATAACTTTCCTCATACGTATGAATATAAGGTTCAATGTCATTATTATCTATTTCTTTAACGTCCTCCTTTACTTCGTACTGCGGTGGATACGAATATCCCATCATATCATCGCCGTGTTGTCCCCGCAGAAAATTAGATTTCTCGTTGTGTTGTAACGTGGGAATATTATAATCTTTGTGATACTGGGCATAAGGACTTTTGACGGGAGCCACCTCTTTATGGACATCATCATTTTTATGATCCTTTTGATTTTTTAACAGATTATTATCCGATTGATCGTCGTGATCGCTCTGATAGCCGTAATTTCTCCAGGAACTCCAATCTTCATGATGTGATTCCTTGTGGTAGGTTTTCTTCTTCTTTGGTTCTTCTTCCTTGGGCTTCTTCGGTGCTGTCGAAATATCCGGTTTGTGAATATGTATGAACACCGTTTTCGTATGAATTTGATGGTTTATTATTTCGGGCACGTGAATCTTGAAGTGCACGCTGTTAATGAAAAAAAATATGTATACACTGAGAAAAAAATTTGTTCAACTAACTGAACACATTTAGTTGTTTGCAGATTTGGTTAATTCAACAAATTTTATTTAATTGAATTTAAGTCTTTAATTGAATTTAATTGAATTTAGTCTGTTTAACATTGAACAGCTTGTTAAGCAGATTAAGGTTAAATTCAATTAAATAAAATTTGTTGAATTAACCAAATCTGCAAACAACTAAATGTGTTCAGTTAGTTGAACAAATTTTTTTTCTCAGTGTACATGTGAATTTTATATTGAGAAAAAAAGTCTTATAATAGCTACGAAATGTACTTTGTTTAGTGTTTAGCATATGATGCAATATTTAATAACACTAAACATAATATAAGTATTGCTATTATCAACTATTTGATAATAATTTCTAAATATATTTAAAAGAGCATAAATAGCATTTAGTTGATTCAACGCTAACTTTTTTTATATCAACCAAACGTTTAATCGAAATTATTATATCAAAGTATCTAGTAACTATCATTTAGGTTTGATTTATTATTAGCAAAAATTTTTTTTATTGTATGAAAATCAGTGAAGAATCTATAGATATACTGTTGCTGTATTCAAATAGACTTTTGCTTTTATTCAATATAGTACTAAAGATATACCAAAAACGCATTAAAATAAATATAGTCTTTAATTAATTGCCAACAAGTGAGAACGAGAGTAAGCATAAGCTATGAGTTTCTCTACAAGAAAGCGTAAAGTTGTGTTTAACGTTTAATGCCAAACATCGTTCAAAGCAATTTCGTGCAAACTAGATGAAATTACCTAATAACATAGTATCGGTTGCATACTCACTGCTTCTTGGCGCTTCCGTTGTTCAGTACACCGTTCGACAGAATGAAAAGTAAACTGATAACGATCCTCTGAAACACAAAGTTGAGGTCATTACACTTAGATTATCCATACATGTTTTTTGAATTAATTGGCGATGTTTGTGTTGATTATGATTCCGTTATACTGAAATATCTATAACGATCTCTTGCTGATTTAAATCGCATTTGTAAACTTGATGCAAGCACACATAACTTTTAACGGCATAATACTCAAATCACTATAATTATGGTATTTAAAAGGCGTATAGAATTCGATACATTTTAAAATTTCTCACTTGCATTTTTAAACTGAATTATTCATAACAAAAGTACGTCATATTTGTAACATTTATATACATATATATATATATCGCTCCTTAATATCGTGTTCACTTTATATATTATTAATGTTATTACCATTTTCGAATCGTCGTAACCGCGATTGCAAACGTGATTGTTGACAGTCAATTACTGTTTGATATCACTAACAGTGAATCGTCATTTATATGCCATTTTCTTTTCATCGAAGCGAATCTTGTGAAGAGACAATACCATGATGCAGTTCACGGCTGATGATTGCTTTCGCTGTATCTTTCTGGTGATATGCTTCATCTATCGATCCATGACTAATGTGACTTTAGAAATTATAGGGTCAATGAACTATGAAGATAATCTGGTCAAGTTCAATGTCGTGGCAAAATTATTTGTTTTGCCAGATATTTTACGCCATTAAGAAAATATTATATTATTTTTTTATCTCTCTCTCTTTTCAAATTTTTTAAGAGAAATTTTTACAAGAAATTTTAATTTGTTATTATATAATAATTAAGAATTATAATAATATATTATTTCACATTTTATTAAAAATAGCTATATTTATATTAAAGCAATTTATATATAAAGTTTATATTCTATTATCCAAATTAGTACACAATATTTAAAGGGTATTATATAATATTTAAAAAAAAAAATTTTTTTAAATATTTGTTTAATATTTTTACATTAAATAAATTTTAAAAATCGTTTTAAAAACGTCTGCTGATTGGGTAAATTCCGGAAAAATAAATATAGATATGTTTATAATTACATTATCTGTATTAGTAATGGTTTGAGTAATTATTGAAATGTAATGGCAGAATATTAAACATTGTAAGTAAATATTTATTTAAAAAAAACTATTATTATTATTTAAATAAAAGAGTATATTAAATAAGTATTATGACACTCAAATAAGACATGTGTACAAGAAATAATGCAATGAAATAATAAAGTTTAATTTTTAATTTAAATTGTAATATCAGAAATGTAAAATATCAGAAGTGTGAGAAATAAATGTATTTGAAAAACTATCTACTATTACATTAATAATTTAAAATGATGAATGTAAATTTGAAAGATAAAACTGGAGTTAGATTTTTTCATAATTATACATTTTATTTAATTAAAAAGATAATCATTTTTTAATTTCAATCTTAAAAAAAATGCCGCATTACATATTTATATAAATATTTAGAATAATCTTACTTTCGTATTGGGTAAATAATAAAAAGCAAATTTGAATTCACATTTTATTTATTTATAAATAAGCATAATAGCATTACGCACTATATTATACAATATAAAATATAACAAAAGTTACTAGATACTTAATAAAAATTTAATGACTTCTTTGGATTTGCTCTACTCATGCACGAATTAGTACATGTTGTAATCTATAAAAATACACATTTTCAATAATCATCGTAGTACTCTTCATCACTTTTGTGTTTTCCATGATGTGCAATTATCTTATAGATCGTATGTGTATGCTTCACATTCTTCACCCGATAAGGGACATGTATTACCACTTTCTTCCTAAAAGAAGAAGTCTTAAAATATGACACTTTTACAAGTACTTTACATGTTTGTTTATTATATTTCCATATACTTGACTATAAATACTTACGACTCAATTAATTGATGTATTAGTACAAAGACTGTTAAAAACAAGATAATATACTGCAACAAAAATTATTTAAATTATTATATGTAATATTTTTTATATGTGTACAATTATCTCTCTATCTTGATGTTTACACCATAAACTCTTCTGAATTAAATTTAAAAAATGAAAATATTTAAAGAAATTAAATACATCAAATTAAAACTATCTGTAAAATGGATATCAAATATCATTTTTCAAATCACTTATTACTCGTAAATTAAATTTATTTGAAATCTAATATTAAAATTAAAATTAAAATAAAGTAAATTAAAATGAATTAAATTACACTTTTAATTAAATACTAAATTTAATCAAAATTAAAATGTGGTGTTATAACAAATACATCTTACCAAAAATTTATACCGCATTGTGAAAAACATCAATCCGTTTGTCTGTAAAGCCTTTCTCGAAGCACTTTAAACAATCAAGAGATATCTTCTGAGCATCGCGTAGCTACGAAGCGAACGTTTATATAGTGTAACCAGCAACTAGCGAGGAGAATCTCTACACAAAATATTCCATGAAACTCCGCCCAACATACATTCATTACAATCACTTGTATTTATCGCTCTAAAATATCACAAAACAATCTTTTTACATCGGATTTCCTAATGATTCCTACATATTTTGACGCCGCTTTGTTAAGAAGCATTATTATCATAAAATTATTAAATATAATTTTTATTACAAAATTTTTATGTTTGTAATTTATTTTAGTTTCTCTATCACTGAATAACTCTGAAAAATAACATCTCTAAAGATATTAATCAGCTAATACATTAATTTTATAACTTTATTATACATATTTATTTGAACATTTTTTAATGTAAACTTGCACGATAAGAAAAATGTAATTTTATTCATATAACAAATATTCTTGTTGATGAAACAAAGATTCCCTGAACATTGTAAAAATGAATTTTCATATAAATATTCAAAGAGGGAGACAAAATATGTAAATTGTGTAAGGGCGCACTAGAGAATATATATACATATATCTATATGTGTTATAGGAGTGTGAAGTTACTAGAATGAATATAGATAAATTTATAAATAAAGAGGAAAAAGATTTTTAGATAATGAAAAGGGGAGAAGAAGAAAAGGATAAAGTAAGACATTAGAGATAAAGAAATAGAGATAAAGTAAGACATTAGGATGAGGTAAGAAGATAAATATGAAAGTAGGAGTATAATTAGTTAGAAAAAAATTAAATAATAAAAATTAATATTAGGTTAAGAACATAAATAATATATTGTATCGTATTCTAAGCTGGTAACCATCTTAAACCGCAACAAGGATTAAGAGAAATAAAAATATTATGTAAATGCAAAAATTATAAATTAAGTAACTTAACAGTGAATTGTGTATCCTTCTCTTCGAATCGTGACATCTTGAAGGTACAAGCAAACAACAAATTGTCCTGTTTAAACAAATGCGTACAAAAGTTACTTAAAAGTGAAATCGGTATAAAGAGAAGAGCACAAGAAACACGGCCGCCTACACGTGCGTATATATTATACAAACGTGTTTCTGCGATTAGCAGCGCAGTTTCGCATTTTCCAGCTGTCAAAGAAAAAGAAGAAATGGAAGAAAAGATCGCTGCGGCGTGACCACCTCGGCAATCGTGATAATAATCGCCGACCATGTTGATTTCACGGTCACGTTAATCTGTAGCGGATGGAAAACCGTTCAATGCGATTGATGCAAGGGCCGTGACCGTGCTTGGAAAGTGCACTTATCGCATTTTTCCACTCGCGCGCGTCATTCGTTTCTTTTCTTTTAGTGAATATGTCTCATTGTAGATGAGCAATTAATGAACAGCTATTATAGAAATTATAACAGTTCTACATGTATAATTACATTTGGTTTCCTTTTTTTAGCTGTCTCCCTTATGTTATCATTTTTTTATTTATTAAAATGAGAAATTCTTTTACGTTTAATTTGTTATAGTAATATTATTAATCATATTTCTAAAAGCTGCAAATGCGTTAAACCTATGTCGCTCATATCGTTCGTTTAAGAAATACAAATTTTATAAAAATAATAAATCTTATTGATCCATGTAAAATTATTGTTTGATTGATCTAAATAAAAATGATCAGTAAAGCTGTTCATTTTTTCGAATTTTTAAACGGTATCCTCTTTTGTGCGTGTGTGATAATATTCTTACTAAATTATTATTTTTCACGAATTGTATGAGTGCTTTCATTATGAAGGTACGTGTTAATACGATATACATTTAACGTTAAACTGTATTACAAATGTATCATAAACGTACATCGAAACTTTCTAATCTGCGCATTACTTTAAGTGAATCCCTAATTGTAGTTTAACAATAATAATACCCACATTGTCTATATCGCTTTCCCATTCGTCAAATGTAACTTACCTCCATGAAAGTAATTAGAAATTAAAACAAACCGAAAGTAAAATGTTATTTATTTACTTAATAAGTGTATCAATAAACAGTGAATTAAATAGAAATAAATCGTACAGGTATCTATCTATTTATTTATGTACAACTTAATAGTACAACAAAATAAATACACACACACATATATATATATATATATAAACAAATTGATAAGGCTTTGAAAGGTAATGCTTGTTTACAACATTGTTAGGTTTAATTTAATACGTATGTACGATGACTCAGAACTATGGCTATGCTTTTCATCTAGAAATTCGGTTATTATTATATATATATTTTAGTTTTTATTATTTTAGTTCAAATCTTCTTCGTCAAGATTACTGAGTAGAAGAGATTCGAATGAATAACAAAATCTTTCATATAACTAGCGATTAATTTCAAGTAAAGTTTGTACAATTTTAATTACTTGGTAAAATATTTAGTTAATTTATAGAGAAAAGATTATTTCCAATTTAACCCAAGAACTGATACATCTCGGGAAATGATAACCATCTTGAAAAGATTTGTATTCTGTGTGCCATGTATGTAAAAACATGATAAGATGAATAATGTATATAGCTTTTAAACAATAATACAATAATGGTTTTACTATGAGATACAAATGTTAATGTATCTCTCATTGTTTCATGTTGTTCAATATAAAACAAACGTGTAGTCATTTTTAATTTGCAAACGATCAGTCCCCAAACCCGTTCCAATTCCTCAAAAATAATTATCCTTAATTACATACACTTTATAAAATATTCTCCTTAGAGATATTCCACAAATATCCCGAATTAAAATTACAACAACCATTTCAACTAATTTTGAAACAGAAATAAGGCAACAAGTACGTAGCTATAATACTTAATCTTTGAAGCATAGCTTATCTAAATCGATTATGCAGGATATAAACATACATTTGTTAATACACGTAAATATATACTTTTTTCGATTTTTGCCTAAAACGTAAAGAATCACAAGCTATTTTGGATATCATCGCACATTATACATGTCGCCATGACTAACGCGTAAATGTATAAGCATTTAAATGCCTAAAAACGCGCATTACTGTCTATATTCGATTGTACCTAAGAAAAAAATGCGCTATTACGAACAAATTATCAAGTAGTACTTGATTTTGTTTTCGAAATCGCACCTCGTTTTGATCGCCTCGATGTCTTTGTTTTCTCCATTGTATCACTCATCGTCGATTTTCGTATCGTGCTATTCGCTTCCGTTCCCTTGAATACAAAACTAGATTTTTTCATTACTGTAGGCCGCTTCGGCAATTGTTGCCTTCTTGTGGTACTTTTTGATATGGACGCCTCCGACGTTCCGTTTATCGGCAATCTTTCCGTCGTACTGCTCGCTCGCGATTTCTTTGATAAATTACTTATCATTGAGCCACTCAATGTTGTTTCACTTTTGATGGATTCTGTCGTACCCTTAATCACTTTAATTAATGTCGGATGTCTTTCTGTCGTGCTGTTCGTCGTAAAACTCTTGATCGTCATCACCAATTTCTGCGGTTCCTCTATCCAGCTGCTCTTCGTGATGACGTTCGATCTCAAAGTTTCAACCGTACTGCTCGCTACCGGTTTTGGAGTAATTATAAACGGTTCAATGTTAGTAGTCGACTGTGGTTGCATGATTTTGGTGGTAGTTTCTAGTTGTGGCGTCGAAACGCTTGTAGATTCCGTTCGTTCGCATCTATCACCCTTGTCCGAAGTTAAACATCTTGAATTTTGAGTGGTCGGGACTGAAGTGTGGCGTTTACTATTTTGTCGAGTAAATCTCTTTGTCTCGATCATGCTCGGCGTAGTCTGCCTCGGAGCATAAACCAATTGCTGTTTCGTGATGGTCTCGTAGTGATTACCGCTCGCGACCTTCGCCAAATTAGTGACCGCCTTGTGCAAATCCGTGTCCTCGGATATGAACATTAGCGGTTGCCATTTCTCGCGATTACTGTCGGAGACGACCTCCTCGCTCTTCTGGAAATTCGATTCGCTCTTCTCTCGTTTCACTTTTCCCCATTTCACTTGATCGATTGGGAGCTGTTCATCGTTCTGCGCAATGTATTCCAATATTTTATTAGCATAATTCTCCGAGACTTGTCGAGAGTCAATGAGATAAGCTGGAGGATTTATGACATGAAGTGCATCCTGAGAACTTGAACCAGTTTGAACATCGTTTTGCGCCTCGTGAGAAGTCGCATAAGAGCTTGGCAGTGATGGAACGTTGGCCGGCTTCTCATGAGAACTAGTATAGGTATAGGTAGTAGGAGTACTGAAAAGATTGTTCTGCTTGAAGTAAGAAGTGGGGCTCGGGGCGTTGTTGAACTCGTTTTGATTCTGATAAGAGATCGGATAAGAGTTCGGGGCGTTGCTAAACTCGTTTTGTTTCTGATAAGTGGTCGAGTAAGCATGCGGAATGGTGTAAGATTGATCGTAGAATTCCGTAGGTGCGTTAACATAGCTGTATTGCTCGTACGAGCTCGAATGATGACTAGGGGCGGTGAGGCTGTCGCTAGGTACTTTATACGTATTCTCGTAAGAACTGAAATCAGTGTGTTCCATTGCCGACAGCGGGTATAACGGGGCAATCTGCCGAAGGGGCAAACGATGTGTACTTAATTGGTAAGGTTCTAAAGAATCTTGTTCATTCTCCGTTGTATTTTTAATTATCTCCGTTACATGTTTTACGATGTCATCTCCTGATTGGTATTGATAGTACAACTGATCGCTTTCCGCTCCGCTCGTTGCTTCCACTTCAACGGGTCCGGGCGGTTTTTCCTTATTGATTTCCTTGATATTCTTCGAAGGACGTTTCGATTTAACCGCAGGTTTAGGTTGCGGCCCTCGATTTTTACCAGAAATATGGCTAGTGTTTCGAGGCAATTGAATCGAATGACGATTAGAGGAACTGAATGTTATGTCACTTGATCCAACAGGGTGTTTCTTCGAAAGCGTGACAGAGGGATCGATGAAAGGTAAATACGGTAAAATAGATTCGCGTTCTCGAAATTCTTCGTCGATCACAGGAGCTGGTATTTCTGTTACAAAGCGCACATTAACGTGAGTCGAATCGATCGGTTCCATCAGACGTAGATAGATCTTACGCTTGGACCCCGGCATCTTGATAGGTCCGACGATCGGACCCAGTTCCTTCTTAGGCGGGTCCAGTAATTGATGCAGTATGTCCGCGATGGAATCGAAAATAGTCTTCTTTGTGGTAACGCGAAACATGGGCTTAATATAAATCGGTCCTTTGTCCGCTTCGGGAATTGATTCGTGAATGTCATTGTCGTCCACCTTATACGTTGATCCGGCAATCGAACGGACTTTTAAACGTTTTGCTAGACGTTTCACACGATCGCGAGGTTGTTGTTGTTGTTGTTTTTTAAATCGAGACTCGTGGACTTTACTCTGAAAGGGCTTCTGAATAGTTTGAATTTGTCCCGGAAGTCGAGGATTTCGCAACGTAGGAAATACATCGGGACGAATTCCAGGATTGAGATTTAATTCTTTTCTGGCCGTAGCATTATCGAGGCTCGAGTTTTCTCGCGATCTTGTTTTCCTTAGCCTGGAAAATAATATACAAATATATATATATGTGTGTATTATTTATATATAATAAAATAAGAGATTGAAAACTTAAAGGATAAATTATTACAAATAAAATATTGCTCAATAACAAATTTTATATTGCAATATTTTTATTTTATTAAATATTTCTAAAAGGTCTTATTCAATACATTTATTATTAAATCTAACAGTTATAAATTTATAATAAGTAGAATTATAATAAAGAATTATGATGAAAAAAGAAATAAACATTTTTATTCAAGAAAATTTTTTTTATATATGTAACAAAAGAGACAGTGTCGTTATCGAAAATCTACTTACCTATTCAAATATTGGATTTCGTCACTGGATACAGTTGATGATAAGTACGCACAGACCTGTGCATAAGGCATATACATATGTATATAGTATAAAACATATTTCTAATTTATATTATATAATTATATTATATGTATACATATAGTATTAGATTATATTGTTTATCTTAATTAATAATTATAATTCAAAGAGTCTTATTTATGCATTTACTTGTTTCTTTAACAAAATTTTAATACAAATATTCAAATTGGTCAATATTAGTAATGTGATTACTTTGCGTTTAAAAGATACAGAAATCATTAATGATTTTATAAAGACATAATTTTGTCTATGTAAATATATCGCTGATTAATTATCCAACTGAAAAGGTCAAAGATATTTTGAAATTGCTACTATTTTTTAGTTGTCCTTATTCACACATCCTTGTGTTCACCATCATTGGACGAAGCATTATTGACGAAATCAAATGATATTAGCAGAAGATCCGTGTCGTTTTGACAATAATCTTAGTAAATTCGCGCGATAGTCACGTTGATTGTAATTTCGTAGTTCACTTTTCTCACTGCGAAGACAATGATTTACATCTTCACTCACCGTAATGAGACACGTGATCCTCATATCGTCGCTCGCACGAAATCTTGCTTACCTCACCGATCTACTGCGAAGACGACTGTTAGGCTGCAGTGTTAGCCACCTCTTTTAAAGGTTCTCCCGTAGCTATTAGAGCGGGGTCTGTACCGAAGCTTGATAACGCATCTTAGTGTATAATCCCCAACATACAGCATACACGCCATTATGCCGCTCACAAGAGCCGGGCGAGTAACGGGAGCAATTTGTTTTCTATATTTCCTTATTGTTACTAGAGATATATATTACATATAGTTTCTAAATTACAATCTGATCGTTATGACTACTAGACAAACGTGTTTATTGTGATACAGTATATACTAAAATAAAGTTTCTCAGATTTACTTTCGTTTTCACAAAAATTATTCTTTATTTTTACAATTTTCATCGGGTTGCATATATGTCGAAATATCTAAAAATTCTTTGTTTTATATATTTTCCTTGATATTTTATTTCCATCCTTTAGACTTGGTGTCACAAATTTTAATGGTTAAATTGCGCCAATGTGTTCCATGATTAAAAATAAGAAAAAATTTATATGACCATAAGTCTTAACTTAAGACCAAAATTCATTTAAAAAAAGCTTCATGAAAAAATTACAACAAAAATCTAGTAGTGTAAAATTTAGCGATCTTGAAAGCCAAAGCATTGTGCTCGACAACTACCCTATTGAATCCACATGTGTATACTATATATATACATACTTTGGTATATTTATCAGAAGAACTAAAAATATTTCCTTTTATAAAAGTTGCTTTATGAGTCTATGGATTTATTTGAATAATTAATTATACATATATGTACTCTATGAAATTGATGTTATACGAATAAAGAATAAAAAAAACTCAATGATCGCTGATCGAACGATCGATATTTTGAAATGATATATTAATAAAGTTACATACACTGTATAGATACTATTAATAACAAGAGCAAATTTCTTTCATCCGCGCTATATTTTTTCTGTTATAATTTTTTAATAAAAATTCTATAAATTTATATACAACATTTTTCCTTATTTTTATCTTATACAGAATACTTTGGTTATTAAAATTTGGAGCATTTTGTACAACATATAAATAATTGTCAAATAAACTACATGACATTGCTTGCTTCTAAAGTTCAAGATTTAATAATTTAAAAAATTCTTTTGAAATTTGGAAATTTAATAACTTACCAATAAATTCTTGTTTGAAAGAATACAAACTTGTTTATTCGATAATTGCAGAGATGAAAACTTGTAGATACGATACATTTAACATAACCATACATTTCTTAACTTTGTACGGCACTTTTGCATCACTGATCCTGGTGACTGCATATGGAAACATATCGTGTCAATATGTAATGAAGATATATCTTTGTTGTTGAAATCCTTCAAATTAACGCGAAAGAAGTCGTAACAAAGGCCATTGGCTTAACGAAAGTAAATTCATTTACACGCTATTTTAATCGCGTGAGTTTGTGAATTTACCATCTCCAGCGTGAAGCGCCAAGTTTCTAACATATCTAAACATGGAAAGTTGTTTGTTGAATCGTCAGATTGATTGTGAGTCGCATCAGATTCCAATCCTCGACGTCGATAGCAATTATATGTTATTGCTGCTCAATTGAGTAGAAATCCGTTTAATTAATTGGTATACAAGTAGAAGCAATTCTGATATATATTCCATATATAGAATCTTGCAATCTTTCGAATAATTATACTGATCGCGAGAATGGTCGCGAACGGAAAAGGCGTGGTAACGGTGTAGATTACAGAGCATGATTGAAAAAATACGTGCGGATTAATGCAAGAAGAGCCGACATTTTGTGCGAAACAGTTAATAATATCTAATCTGGCAGCGATTCAGTTCCCTTGGATACGATAAACCAGTCTTGTATTAAGAGCAATGCGTATGAACGATCTTGCTTGCTCGTATAATCAAGTAACTGAGTCTTACATAAATTTTTATAATAGTTCCTCCTGATAAAATCAATACTTCGGTGTTTAGGTGCGTGTGTGTGTGTGTGTGTGTGTGTGTGTCGTTTATATATTATATATATAATACATTATATTATATATTATGTATTATATGTATATTTATGTATATGTGTATAAACGCATTTATATATGATATCTCAAAATCACAGAATACCTCTTTTGAATTAGAATATAGTAAGTAAATTTGAAATCGATCTTTTCTTTTAAGTAAAATGATATTTTTATTTTCATTACTTCATTGTAATTTTATAATTTTAAATATAATATATAACTTAATGATTTTCAAAATTTTTAATTTCTATTAAAATAGGATCTAATAATTGATATTGAATAATAATTATAATTATGTTTACTGGTTCTTCTGAGATCTTTAAAGAAATTTTAATTTCGATCATTGATTTATTGCGATATTATTACTTTTTTATGCAATATTAAAAGGATTTATAAAATAATCGTCATACATTCAGAACATTATCTATAATAGTTAAGTACATATTATTGAATTTTAAACAAATGGGTAAACTATATTTGTTTAATCCTTCTTACATCTAGAATCAATTTAGAATTAAGGAAATTCTAAGCAGTAATTATTATCTAATCTAAAATGATTTATGATAGAAAATTTATCAAACATAACTTGATCAATTCAACATTTACCACTTTGCTAACATGAAAATGAGATAGATAATTTAACTGAGTGAATGCGTCGTTCATTAATCATATTATCGCGACTGAGTTAATTCGCACGTATTTTATTGGCGTTGCTTGAGCACGGATTAAGTTTACACTCTACTTTTTAACAAAATTAATAAGGAGAATGAAGGATTTTTAATTGAAAAACACAGATGATTCAAAGCTAATGTTTTATTCAAACCCTCTGGCTAAGGCAATATTTATCGCAATAAAATTATCTACAGATTTAGATTTTCTTTAACATTTTACTATTAATATTCTTATAAAGATACTTATTAGCATACAAAATTATTAAATTGCTTGTCAATAATAAATAATTGTTAAATTATTAAAATATTTATTGTAAATTCCATTTAATCTAAAGCAAATGATACATATGAAATTTCCTTATGCATAAACACTTTCAATTTGCACGCTTGACTGAATAAAATGACGTGAATGCTTTAACCACTAACTACCAGACGTCCACGCACTCTTAATCTTCGTATTTCAAGATTTCAACGATAACCGCAATGAAAGCGTTGGTTATCCGACATGTTTAGTGTTTCTTTTATTCTTTTTTTTTAACTATTGACGATAGTTTAACTGAAGTTAAAGCGGCGTTTTCCGTCGAAACGAAATCCATATGCGGCGCTATTCGGCGCATCAACCAATGCAGGATTTCGATATTGATGGAACGAACCATGAAGATGGGGCGGTCTCACGGCGTTTTGCTCCTCGTCTTGTGTACCTTTCAGGTAAAACGCCTCGAACTGACCTTCCGGTAAGAGAATATCCTTTAGGGACTTGTCATCTGGATCATATGCCGATGTGAGGATGATTAATGTGACGAAAAAGCAAAATACCTGCAATAATGCTATCTTTATCAATTGCTATCAAGAATCGAAACATGAAAACGATAGATAATCGCTTGTAAAGTTAAATAAAGTGAAGGAAATTCACAGAGATGCAGTTTGTAAAATTATAAACGTCGAACCTTCAAAATTAAAAATTAACAGAAAAGCTAAAGATTTAATTTCATGAAATAAGTTAGTATCAAACGGCTAATGCTGTGATATAAAAAATAACTGCTTGCAGGATCACTTTCTCGTAATAATTACTAAGTCAATAAATATCTGTTCAAAATAAAAAATCAGCAAACTCAGCAATAATTCGATTGAATTAAAAATTGAATGAACATATTTTAAACAATAAATTCTTTATGCAGTGTTTTAAGATGCTTATTAGCACCATTGTTAAATTGATCAATTCAATTTATAATATTACTATTCCAGCCTCAATTTATAATTGCATCTCAGATCCAACGGTAATCGGCGCACAGTTTATAGAACTGAAAAAGATATTATTTAAAATTTATATAGAAATATTATTAGGCACTCATATCCCGCCTTGACCGTATTTGGTGATTTTCTGTTTATTTGAGTTATTTACATAAGCAGTTTAGTTTAATTTATTATTATTTAAAGATATTTTAATTTAAACACTACTCTTACGTTTCCTGAAATAACGATATAATCCGACAGTATAATCGATAGAGTAACAATTTACACCTTTATTTTTACAACAGTTTAACGATGCGATTTACATGTGCAATGAACCTTTTTTACGATTACTGTAATAAATGGAACACTGTCGTGATGCTAAGTGATAATTTTCGGTTAATACTAAACAATTATACGTACCAATAAAATGTTTCGATCGTTCCATATCATTACCACTTTCCGTTCCATTTTCCTGACCGTATCTCTTGCGCGATCAAGATACTAAAATAACAAATAATGTTTATGTCACATATAACGATGAATCTTGTCAGCATAACTCTCTCGACTATTTGATAAAACTGGGAAAGCGATAAATCCGGTCTCTCTCACCAAATTAATCGCACGCTATGCCACGTGGCAAATAAGCAGTTTTTAATTGCAATTTATTAGTTATAAAAAATCATGTTTATTTGTCCATACATACATTCGTGTTTGAAGCTAATGACACGAATACGCAATGATATAATTCAATGCTGCGTGCAGAACGTGAACATTATCTCGATTCACCTGAGATAAATCTAGATTAAAATATCCTGTGTATAATATAACAATGATTCAGCCTATATAATAAATATTTATTTATGATACGTAATATAAAACAACAGACCTTGTAAGTAAAATCTAAAATCGAAAAATACAAAATGATATTTAATTAAAATAATAAATAGCAAATCTAATAAAAGCAAAGAGAGAGAGAGAGAGAGAGAGAGAGAGAGAGAGAAAGAGAAAGAGAAAAAGATTAAATTTCCTAAATCGAAGAAAAAATATTGGAGATAACGATAGGAAAATTCAAAATAGTTTGACCATTCACAATCTATTTA